AGAGAGAGAGAGAGAGAGAGAGAGGGGAAGATAGAAGTATTTCTAGTCATCAATATATCTTAATTCACCGCATCCATTCCATTTTTCCCTCCCTCATAGGACTTGATCAACAGTAACAAGCAAAAAGGAAAATTTTCTTCATGGGAACACAAAACGAGTTTAATATTGCAGAAAACTCTTTCATTTGCCTCATTTACAGAACTGTATAAAAAGATAAAAAGTAACAAGAAAAACTAATTAATCTAATGGAAATGATGTAAAACGAGTTTGATATTGCAGAAAACCTTTTCTTGCCCTGTATTATGAGTCAACTAGGAGTGTTTGGGAGACGCATCAGCGACATCGTATTGCTTGTAATGTCATAATGTACTACAGGATTGCTTTCCTTTAGCTGACTTTGGTTATGTGAATAAAAAACACTGGAAAATTGTCACGATGACACATCAAAGTTTCGACAATATATTCGAGAAACCAAGTAAGAAAAGAAAGACAGAAAGAAAGAAAGACAGAAAGGAAGAAAGAAAGAAAGAAAGAAAGAAAGGAAGAAAGAAAGAAAGGAAAAAAGAAAGAAAGGAAGAAAAAAGAAAGAAAGAAAGGAAGGAAGAAAGAAAGGAAAAAAGAAAGACAGAAAGAAAGACAGAAAGAAAGAAAGACAGAAAGAAAGAAAGAAAGAAAGAAAGAAAGAAAGAAAGAAAGAAATGAAGAAAGAAAGAAAGAAAGGAAGAAAGAAAGATAGAAAGAAAGAAAGGAAGAAAGAAAGAAAGGAAGAAAGAAAGAAAGGAAGAAAGAAAATGTAATTAGAAACAAGAGGGGGAAAAAAGAAAAACCAATCTGACGTTCATTGGAACATATTGAAAACAGCTTGGCCAACTCCGAAGATCGATGAAGCACGATACTGAAAATGAAAGTAGTTTTCTCTGAAATATTGAAGCATTGTCAAGACTGGACATGCTCTTGTCCTTATTGATTTGATCTTAGGCTAGAAAGCGTGCATGTCATAGCTGTATACCTTTGCTGAGGTTGGGGAAAATAAATGAGACGGGGGGGATAATATGGGGAGACACGTATGTGAGAGAGGTGGGTGGCCGTAATAATATGAAAGTATGAAAGAGGAATTGATCAAAGATCTAAAAAAAAAAAGAAGATTTACAGCTAAACTGGTGCGAGCGGAGGGAGAGACGGTAGGAGGGAGAGAAAAATATGTACAGAGAGAGAGAGAGAGAGAGAGAGAGAGAGAGAGAGAGAGAGAGAGAGAGAGAGAGAGAGAGAGAGAGA